TCAACCAGGGATGCAGCTGTGTAGTTGTTTGATCAGGCCTGGTTTGATGTTTTGGGTAGGACATTATTGTAAGTGCTAGAAATCACCGCACAGTCCTGTTATGTATATGTATGTAATAAAAAGTCAGTAGTTGTGTTCATGTTATGGATCTTGGCATGTGCCGAGAGTTGGGACAGAGTTGTCATGTACCAAAAAGTGTGTGTGAACAGTCTGGACTTCATTGATTTTGGTCCCAATAGAGAGTCAGGATCGAAACTCGGCACATGTCAGGATTGGCTGCCTGAATGCTCAACATAAACAGGAAATCACACCCTTGCCAGTGAACTTAAGAGAACATATACTGATTCATATGACATGGCGATGGAGGAAAGTGCTGCCTGCTTGTCTAGAAAGATATGGTTTGATGCTCAAGTAGGAGCACTGACTAGTACATGGAAAGAAGATGACATTTTGTTTCTCATTGACAGCTCAACAAGAAACAAAAAACAGGTGTATTGTGGTACGATTTCAGCACAAGCCGCAGTAGTCACAAGTAACGTGAAAGCAACTGCTGTAATCCATCTGCAAACTCGAGGGATATAAAATATTTGGCACGTGCCGAGATCCTGTGATGTGAACATAGCTAGTGACACCACCTGGCACGAATATATTTTTAAAAACAGACAAATTTATTGATCTGCACATAGTGGTGATCATACTGACCTTTATATTTTTATTTCCTTGTAATGTCCTACTTTACTGTGGACTTTACACACTCATTGTGCTGTGTACTTGTGTGCATTGTCAGCAGTTTGTTGCAGGTGGTCTTACATGAATGTAGTAATTTAAAACTACTTCTCTTAATTCTAAGGGACTTTCGCTACCACAGATGGTGCTTCCTAATCATCATAAAGAATTCAGATTAATGCTACTTTACAATATTTTGACGTAACACCATTTGTACTCTGAAATTGTACATAATTAAAAAGATAAGGGGGTCAATATTGAAAGGGTGCAATTTACTTTGACTATTAATTTCAGTCGCATCCATCTGTGCCTGTGACATTACGGGCCTATGCATTTGGTCGATTTATTTCAGATTTGGCACAGAGACAATTAGTTGCATCTCGGTAAATATACAATGTGTCTATTCGACTAAAAAAATTTTCAGGTTGACACATGTGGTGTTCTCTAATTACAAAATACACCTTGTAATGCTGGAAGGGCTTGGGAAAAATGCACTAAGTATTGACAACTGATATATCTAATTAAAACTTCACATATGTATTGCAGATGCATATAACTCAGACTAGGTGCATAACAAATCACCATACTAAACTTTGAACAGTCATTCAACTTCCATGGCCTCGGTTCAATCTATTGGTGTATAGCCTGACCTCTAACAACACTGAATGTATTCTTAGATTGTTTATCCCTTCTTTCTTAAACATATGCTAAGCATACTATACTCCCTATATATAACAGTATAGTTTATTTTTAATCACTGTTTATACTGTATGCCCTTTTTGTCTAGCCTACTAGGAAACCATGTAATGTGCAGTTTTATTTGTTTGCATTCTACAAAGACTAGAACTGTTTTTTGTTAGCTTTAGCAGACTTGCGTCTACGTAATCTTTTATACTGTATTTGAATACGCTTGCTAATTCTGTGATTTCAGACCCATGGTACCATCCTAAGAGATATAATATCCATCTCCATTTTTTGCTTAAAGGGGCACCTTCCAGTTAAGATTAATTTCACAACAAATTTACTTTCTGGATTAAAATAACAATGGATAACAAAAGATAGATTAACATTGTAAACAACATAAACAATAGTGTCCCATGATTCTTTGGTGCAATCCATGGGATTGAGCGGTTCCCCTTTAAAGTTCTTTTATTTTTAAATCTTAACTATCTTAATAATTTGTAGGAGGTGATAATATCCAATTCAGAATTACATATTTTAATAATGTTCTTAGTTTATTGATGCAACACCGGATGTAGCGCGGCAGTAATTAAAACTACATGTACTTTTAATATATAATATATATAGCATATTTGCTCTATTCGTATGTGTATGCGCTGACATAATTTACAGAGATGTGTTTCTATAGTCTAAATAAATAATATTTAAATGATTCAGTATACAACAAATGTAGTTGTTGGATTGTATATGCCTCAGTTGGAGGTGCGCTTCTAATAGTGCGAGTAGTTTTTTTTTTTCAAAGTTAAAATAAGACGAGTTTCTAAAGCATTTAATAAACATATGAATTTACGTATAAATATATGAATTTACATTCCTGATTCAGTTCTTATGGGGGGGGGGGGTTATAGATATAATAAAGAAAGTGCAAGGTACAATGTTGATTTAAAGATTCATTCTGTCAATTGAGTTGTTATTGTCAATAGTAAAACAAACATATCATAGATATTTGTTGGAAATGTTTAATTGTGGTTACCAAAATGGTCCCTGTTTTTGTTTTTATTCTGTACAGACATGTACATTTCACATTTAGATATTACGTCAATTATGCAAGGAAGAGATAGGATGTCTAACTATTCTAGGAATGGTGCATCCTGCAGTGTGTTCATAGTGGCACTGATTTATACAGACTTCAGCTCCAACATTAGAAATAGCATCTCAAGATCAACCTTGTGATAGTTTCCATGGCGATTCATATTTCCCATCCTTTTTTTTTTTTTGACTTGACCTCTTATAGTGAGAATAAATGTAGCTAATAAATGCAGACAAGCCTATTCAATAATTCACAAGTATTTTAGTTTTTTTTTTTTTTTTTGATGTTAATTGAAAAGGAAATCTGAGTAAAGAGGTCACAGCATGGAATTGATCTGTGTCCTGCTTTTGAAACATTCTGTTGCTATTTTGGTAATCAATTAACTGTTATTCCTCCAATGAAATCGCATTAGAGTTTGACCTTCGAGTGACCTTGCTGTGATCCTAAGTGATGTGGTGTATATTATATGTACTTTAATAGTTCATATTCAGCACTAGCTGTTATTGGCATATGGACATTCTACTGTCATCTTAAACACTTGCCGAATTTGTTTATCTTTAATTCAACCAAATTTCTTTTTAAATGTTTTATTACCAAAAAAATTTAAGTATAAATTTATATTTTATTTTAATGTAATGAGAAATACATTGTTAATATAATGCTTTTATTATTTAATCGTGTGTGCTCATGCGGAAATAGACGCAGCTCCTTTTGATATATGTCAAATCTGTTTCAGGAATTTCTTTACGTCACAATCTTATAAAAATTTAAGTATCTTGACACTTTTGACAACGTTTTGACATTTATTAAAATTTTGGAAATTACCAACCATTATAATCCCTAATTTGAGTATTACTGCAGCTGACAATCCCCTTGCTAAATTTAATACAACATGGCTTGTCTGCCCACACAGTCTTGGGTTTCTTTGGTTAGTTCATTTTTTCTCAAAAATGGGGGGATAGGGGAGATTAAACATTGGCATCGTAATAATTCTTGATGATATTACGAGCATTATATTCGCACTTGATAACTGTGCGTGATTACTTCACGTCGTGCTCACTGATGCCCAATTATCCAAATGTTTCTATTCTTACGATTGATTTAATGGTTTAGTGACGTCAATGGCTGCCATGCAAAGGAAGACTGAATTGAAACGAGAACATAAATGCAGCCAACTAATCTATATTCACTGAGTGTGTGTAAACCATGTCGGGTCATTTACCTTACTTTTAGACCGGAAGACGAGTGAAATCGACTGATTATATTTTAGGATTCTGCGTAACACATGTCTTGTGTAATCCATTCAAGAGTTATTGATGTTATAAATTACTTATATAAAGTTAAACTCCATTTTCCAATGTAGATTATGCTGTCTTAAGGATCGCTTGAATGTATGCACAGGTTTTTGAATAACGAAATGCAGCTGTTACATTTGAAGAGAACATAATGGCTGTTTTTGAAACTTAAACTTAACTACTATCCCACAAACAGTTTTAAAGGTGATCCATGTGTATGTATTTGTGTTTCAGAATGATATTATTTAAAAAGAAATGCATATATTACATAGAACTGTGACTTTACCGTACCATGTATTATTTTCATTTTCACTGCTTTAATCACAAATTATTAAGATGCTGGTAGATTGTCACGATGTTATTAAAAAAAGTCTATTTTCGGAGAAAGTATTTTGAAGTAATCTTCAGAGTCTTAGAGAGGTTTATTAACCTACAAACTGATAATGAATAAATGATTATCATATCTTATGTGTAAATTTTATTAATATGTGTATTTTACGTTCCTCCTTGATGTTGAAAATATAGGCTAGCATTGACCTTTGAATAAAAACAATGAGCACTAAAATAATATTAATTTAACATTTAACTTGATGACATCATTGCATAGCATTTCTGCTAGAGTAGTGCAGCAAACCCCTTGAGGGCGCTGTTGGTATTTTTTTGTTTCAATCTCAAAGATTGTTTTTCTTTTGAAGTGTTTTGAGGTTTCATTGCAAGCAATGAGCTTAGCTATCATTAAAAAAATGATATTCTCTGGGTGGTGAGATTTAATTAGAGAAGCGTTGCTTGGCAACTCATGAAGTCGTTTTCACAAGGTCATCAGTCTGATGAAAGAGAAATGTACATTTCAATTTTCAAGTGAAAAAGCAGAAATGAACAGTACCGGTAGCTATTCACCTGTTCGTTTCCTGGTCTAAATTTCTAAAAATGTGTCAAGAATATTTGGCTATTTATATTTGAAGGGCATTGAGGTGTAGGGTATCTACACGTAAGTAATCGCTTCTATGACCTATATGTGAATTACGAGCCATGTAAACTCATGTATGGTAACACAAAGTCGATGTAGGCTGGTGGTCTAGTTATTCTCCCACTGTGTGGTGCTACGTGCGTGACATGTTAGCCATCTATGTAACATGTACGGTAGTTTCCATTCTTGACATACTCGTACCACATGTACTGATATATCACTGTATTTATTTCTATTCCAGATGTCTGGAGTCTTGGGGTATTGTTATTCATGTTGGTAAGTGGTTCGCCACCATTCAATGAAGCAAATGACAGCGAAACACTAACCATGATTATGGATTGTAAATATATTTTACCAGATTATCTTTCGGATACATGTAAAAAGTAAGTCATTCATGGTCACTTTTGCACAGATTGTTCACTGGACCATATTTTTGACCATATTTTTTATGCTGGAAAGCAGGAATAATTTGCACCTTTGTCTTTTTCAGTTTTGCAATAATTCATTTTTCGGGTTAGTTTTTCTATATCCTGTGACAGTAATAATAGGCAAACAAAAAGAAAAAGTATTCAAACTTGTTTCCGCTGTGGACGCCGCGCAGCGCGTGTTTGAATTTCATGTAAATAAACAATGTATTTTACACGCGTTGTATGCGTCGCTATGAGTCTCATATCATTTTGACTACAAGATCAAGTTCAGTTACCTCAAGTTTGTTTTCCCAGTATTTTTCAAATACCTAGTCACAGGGAATGAATGGTAACGTTTCTGTAAATTCTTGCATCAAAAGTATGTTAGCAGCATATTCATTCATTCATTCACTCTTAATTTAGTCTGTTTGGATTTAGAGATATCTGACATTTCTGTAAATATAATCAGATTTTAGAAGCATATACCTGCATAGTGGGTGTTGATACTATTACACAAGATTAGGGATTCCTACTGAATATTAATAATTAATTCCCTATGTGCTGCTAGCTGTAGACCAATCATAATGTATATATGTAAATTACATTATACCAGTGAATCAGTGCAATTATCGTAATCAGATGAAATTCTGTTTTAATTTATTCAAGCCACGGATAGATAGAGCATCATGTTCTGTTATGGTTTATACAGATTTGATATAAAGGAGTATTAATGGAATGTTGTCGACACTGGTTCATTTGAGCAAGCATAACATCCCTTTTTCTTGTGCCTCGGCGTGCATGCGCAATGTAGTGGTGTGTACCAGTTCACAAACTGATATTTTTTTCAAAAAAATTTGTGTTACGATGGCTTAAAATCTATCAATGTTTGCGCGGAGAATAAAATTTAAAAACAAGTGCAATTAAGACTACAGTACTGGTATGTTCACATTTTGCTGTCACTCAGTAGATATATATTAAATGGTAAAATGATAGTTCCAGGCCCCATTTTATTTTACTCTAGACACTTGCATAACGTTTTAAATAAATAAATAACAAAGCATTCAAGCTGACATTTCTCTAATAGATGTCACACAGGTCTGTGTCTGTAACTCTACATATATGCTTTTAGTAAGTAAAACTTTTAGCAATGCAGCCATCTCTTCGTATACTAAATCTATAATTTGCTGCTCTCACGAGAACATTGCAGGTAATCAGACTTAAATGAGTCCTGTTTATTTTGCCTGTTCTCCCCTATGCTAGAAGGTGACATTTTTTTGTAAAGGTGAAATTGCTGCACGAAAAGACTGATGTAATTTTCGACTACAGTCCCCTTTGCTAGAAGTGCACTTGTTCGTGTAAAGGTCAGATTTGTGCACAAAGAGACAGATGACATTTTCAACTGTAATCCTATCTGATAGAAGATTTTGTATGCATACAAAATGCAATTTGAATATTGGCCAATTGGAAAACAGCAATCCATGCACTTCTATTGATTTCTTCTTTTAGGGCTTCCAGCAAATTTTTGACTGCTATTTGTTTTGTATTTGTTTATAGTCTTATACGAAGTATGCTTATACGAGATGCGAGTCGGCGTGCTACTTTAGACGATATTGAAAACCATTCATGGGTAAATTATGGAGAATCTGTGACTGTCAATAATATACCTTTTATACAAAGAGAAGACATCACTGATGCAGATCGTGAATATATAATCAAGAAAATGGTTGAAGGCAACATAGCTGATACAGTTTCAATTTTAAAGTATGTCCAGCCACATTTTTACCTTGCCCGTACCATCAAAGATGGAAGGGAAAGGTATATAAAGGGAAAGATTTTGTTCGGCGTTGTCGTCGTCGTCGTTGTCGTCGTTAATAATTGTTATTGTGTGCATGATAACTTTACTAATTCTATTCCAAACTTCATCAAACTTGGTCACCTTGTTCATCAGTATAAAGTCTTCCCTGAGTTTGAACAACAGATGTCCTGTATGAAAATATCATGCAAAAATTGAGAAAAACTGATAAAATATTTCGACTGTTTCTACTTGACTGATCACTGGTGATACACATCAAAGGTCACTGATCTCAGTGGAAATATGCATTGTTGTATGTGTTCAATGAAGCAAATGATTTATCTTGTAATAATATCCTTGGTAATGTATCTCAGAATCCCTTACTGGGTTTCAAAACCAACTCATGGAGAGATTGCACAGTCTGATACACATTTGCAAACCTACCAATAAATCTTTACAGAAAACAAGATGTCAGAAAATCAATATAAGCACTGCTATGAACTGGGTGCCAAACTTTGATCAAGATCTGAAGCTAATAGAAAATCTGTTTAGTTCAAAGTTATCAAATCAAAAACAATACATAAAAAATACATAAAAAGCAAAACATTTCATCCACATTTTAAAAAGAAAATTGTTCTAAAATATATGTATTCTGTATTTGACAAACAGTTCATTCGACAAATGAAAACTCACAGGAATATGTTTCAGCTATTAGAACAGAATGATAGAGTTTTTATAATACTAGTTTAAAAACTCACTTCAAACAAAGATTGCAGTGTTTGAAGATGTAGGTTCTCAGGAGGCAACAGTACTGTTGACTTCTCCCTCCACTGGACACCAACTAACTATTTAAAGCAGAGCTTGCAACATGATAGCTATTCATAAAGGGTGTTTTTTTTTTTTTACTTTTCATATAATACAGTAGTCACACAATGAGGCAGTTCATATTTGTCTCAGTGAATCATTAATTTTTGACAGACACCTGTACAAAATACTTGGACAAAAGCCAGCTAAGATTTTCTGTTATCTTGCATGTTTTATGAATCTATTCACGTCTAAATGCAGCACTTTTTTTTTGCAATGAGGCATTTGTTTTTATACTAAAATATCTGAATTACCGTATTTGTCTTCAATTAGGCGCCACTTTGTTACACTTTCATGTCATGGTGGCGCTTATTTGTGGTTAAATTTGAGCAACTTTGTTTCAAATGGCGCTTATTTCAAGCACTTCAAGTTCTAGTACCGGTAACTGTGTTACAAGCCATTGTTTTTGCTCCATTCTGGTGATAGATTATTGACAATATTTTACATTACAGTCTGACGCTTAGTCACTGTAGCCTTTATTTTAAATACTGAGTAAATGACCCATTTTCAGACAGTTTAGAAAGTTATACAAAAATTATCATTCTTTAGAAAACATTCACAGTTTGCCGTACAATCAACAGAAAAATAAAACAAACACAAATTCAACGCTTAGTAGTCAATGATCACAGTAGCAAAATCCGGTCATGCTGCATTCCACGGTTACGATTATTACTCAGTAGTAGTTATAATAACGTACAAAAAATAAAATGCAAGTAAAATTCAACTTAATTTCATCGTAAGCGAATGATTCTGGTCGCATGTAAACGCTCGGCGCGATTCGATGTCTGCCATGCTTCCTGTCTAGGACTTGACCTGGAACGCGTTTTTTGACCTGATAGGTCAAGTCGTTAATTAACCAATCAAAATGCTGGATGATGCCAACGTGATCAAATTACCATAGCTCATTTAAATAATGTATGAACGCAATGCGGAAGTGATTTGCCGATGTTTGCGATATTTTGGCTTTTGATTTGGTGGGAAAAACAGCATGATTTTTTTTTCAAATCAAGAAATTAGTTATTTTTGAAAAGTAACTGAGCATTTAAAGAATAATTTAACACTGTTTA